GCTGTGGCGCCTCCTCTCCTCCCCTCCTCCCTGTTATAGTCTCCAAAATCTAGGGTCTTTGGGGACTTCACTATGTAATCCCACATGTCCCTTGAGGTTCCTACAAATCCACTCCATAAGAAGTAAAGTCCTACTTTGGTCCAGATCAGCAATTCTATCAACCATCGAGGCTAAGAGGCCTTGGGGTTATGGCCCAGGGTCTGTAAAGACGTTGCTATTCTTACCTTCAGGTCCAATAAATCCATGTGTGTGAAGGATGAGTTGATGAGATTAATAAAATTCAAATTTATTTCAAGGTATTTCTAATTCATTACAAAATTTTTGCCACTACATCCCCTCCCCACAAACAATAGATACTAAATGTAAAGCTCTTTGCCTGTGAAGTCTCTACTGGTGTTTACAAGGCGTTTCCTAATTAAAACCTAAGTTACCACTGACCTGAATCTTCCGACCTCTCCTCTCCCAGTCCCATGGGAAGATGTAGCATAAATGTGATCTGCAGTTATAACTTTTGATCTTTCTTCCCCTTGATAACTTCTCACAAACTACCTCACTCTCAGCAGATACTTAGTAATGTGTGGTAGTTGAGAAGCAGCCATAATCTTGTAGCAACATAAATTTTCATTACACCTTAAACTCTACAGTCCACCTCTTATATTCCCCAATCCACTGGCAGCACCTGAGCATGGCTTTGCTCAGGGAAGGGAGACAGGGCAGACACAAGGAGACAATTCTTGGCTTTTGTGTTGCTACACAACTATTCTGAACTTACACTAGAAAAATGGTTTTGAAAGAAACACCAATTACTGGCAAGAACTCTGCCCTTTGAGCTTCAAAAGCCAGAATCCTAAAAAGTCTAGGCATAAAATTTATGCTAAAAAAAAACTGGCAGAGAAGTAGATGATCATGTGAGAGTCAGCTTTTCCCACACTGGAGGAGATAACAATTCCCAGGCCAGGAAGAGAGAGAGGAAAAAGATGGACTCTAACAGAGTGAGAAACCAGGATGAGCTCCTGAGGTGGCCTCCCACCCCACGCCAAAACTCCAGAGAAGGCGGTGCTAAAAATCTCTTTCAGACTGTGGATCTGAGAACAAGAGGACGCTTGCCAAGTTGAGATGAGAAGAGCAGCAGTCCAGGTCAGCAGCTGCAGATGTTGTTTCTAGACAGAGGGGCCTGTGGCTGTGGCTACATGTTCCCTATCATTCCAGACTGACAGAGGGGGGCAAGGGAAATGGGTTGTGTGCCCCTGAAGGGGTGAAGATGTAGCTGAGAGGACTGACAGACTTGAAAGAGGCCTTGCAAAATGAACAGAGTGCAGAGTGACCTGGAAGAACGATGACCGGAAATAGATGGAGGTGGGGACGTCAGCTGATGTCTCTGGGAGGGAGTGGAAGACTGGAGAGAGGCCAAGGGGAACACAAATGTACCAGCAGACACTGACATGGACCAGGAATGCAGGGGACCACAGTAAGCCTGGGCCAGGGACCTCTTGCCCTGACGCCTTGGCACTGTATAAATGCCAGCCCGGGAACTGTAGGCGGACCCTCGTCCTGAATTGATTGAGCTTTCCCAAAGTGTGGTGTCATTAAGTTGAGTGTGATTTCCATCCCTGGTAGAATCAGAAGATCAGAACAGAGATTAAGTTCAACGATAGAAAAACAATAGGTTAAATCACACTCTGCACCTAAGTTTCTAGGCCAAGATTTAGATTGCCCTATACTAGTTAAACCTCAGAACAATGTGAAATTCAAACACAGGCAAAGCTGACCCATGGTGACAGATGCTACTACAGTAGTTTCCCTAGGGAGGGGACAGGGAGAGTTCTGAGACGCCAGGAATGTTCTGAATTTCAGTGTGTGTGGTGGGTTACATGTTGTAAATCATCAAGCTTAACATGTGTGAACTCTGCCAAATTTAAAATGTATCTAAAAACTTTTTAAAAAGCAGTCGAGCTCAAATACTGAGAAATGGGAAATAAAAGTGGCCACAAGTGTCCAGAGTTCTCCAGAAGGTGTGGGTCAGAAGGACGGCAGCTTGGCCAGTCCTGCCTCTCATGTGAGAACAGGTCTCTCAGGCCTTTCCTTCAAGATGCTTCCCTCCCTTTACCTTTCCAAAACCTACCTAAAAAATCTGCTTCTCCCCATAATTGACCAGTAAATTACAGCCAGTTTACTGCAAAGTTCCTCAAGTGGGCAGAGCAGTCAGTACCTGCTACCCCAAAGTTTCCTCCTTATAGAAACTCTTCCATGTCACGCCACAGCCAGTCAGTTCAGTGAGCCCTTACCCAAGGGCTGTAACTCTGTGAAGTGGCCAGCAGATCAGAAAGTTACCCAGTCCCAGCAGAGACAGTCAGGACTGGTTGATCCACAAATTATCCCTTTCTGGAAAGAAAAAGATTCATATAAATGCAATTGTAAATGAAAAAGGCAAAATCCCAATGAATACTGCTGAAATCTAGATTAGCAACTACTTCAAAAACCTGTAAGCCAATAATTGGAGAATAGGCTACTAGATATATATGAAATACCAAACTGAACCAAGAAGATATAAAAACCCTGAATAATCCAATAACAGGCAATGAAATTAAAGCAGTAATTTAAAAATCTATCAACTAAGAAAATCACAAACAGTCCCCTGCAGCACACGTGCCATAGGTTTGCCACCAATGTTCTAGAGAAAAACTATAATACTCTGAAAAACAGGTCAAAGAGAACATTAGAGTGGAAAGATAGCCCATGTTCCCGAATAGCCAGAAACAATATAGTTAAAATGGCCATACTTTCAAAATTAATATATAAATTTAATGCAATCCCAATCAAAATACCAAAAGCATTCCTCATAGAACTAGAGAAAATAATCCTAAAGTCCAGAAGAGACCTAGAATAGACAAAGCAATTCAGGGCAATAAGAGTGAAACAGGAGGTATCATAATCCTGGATTTCAAGTTACATTACAAAGCTACGGTGATAAAAACAGTTTATAGTGACAATGGCAAAATGTCATTGCCTTCCCTTTTGTATTTCTGAATTAGGAATAGGGATGTGTTTTACCTATTCTAAAGAATAAGTTTTTAAAACCACAAAGTGGTTTCAACAACTTACAAACTTCTGTCCTTGATGGTACCGTCAAGTATGGAAAATGTCCCATTTTTCTATGCCTGAGACTTCACAGCAAGTCGTTTAGAGACCATGAGGAAAGTAGGGCAAATAGGTATCCAGAAGCCCACAGCACATTGCTCTTATTTTCATAAGCATTAACACTAACAGGAAAAAAACCCAAAACACTAACAGGAAAACTGAAGCAAAATAGTTTCAGAGAGAAACTTACTCTTCTTTTTTTTTCTTTTTTTTTTTTTTCCTAGAAACTGAAAGAGATTTGGAAAATTTTGAGATGTGGGATTATCAGAAAAGGGAAATCAGCCATAAACAGATCTTGCCCTATTTCTACCCTGTCTGTTGTCTCCCACCTGTCATTAAAACCAAGCTGTACTGAAGCACATCGTGTCGAGGAGATGGAAGGAGGAGGAGGAAGTACTTTGTGACAAAATAATTCTAGACCTACTGAAGACTTAAATATCAAAGCTGCAAATAAAATAAGGCTAAATGAAACTATACATGAATAACTATACAAATAAGCAATGGAAGGCCTTTCTAAAATGCACACCAAAAGAGAATGATTAATAGATGACTAATTTTGTACATGACAAAAGGCTATAATTAAAAATTATGAGTCATAGGATCAGGGAAAAATATCTTTAAATATATTACAAAAGATTACAATCTTTACTATCTAAGAAAGTTTTTATACCTCTCTTGAAAAATCAGCCAAAACCGAAAAGGGAATGAAAAACAGAAAAATAAGTGCCACTCTAAATAAAACCAGGAGGCACCATAACCCCAAACCACAGACACAAAGACTTGCAAGTGCAAAGAGGAAGGTTAGACCAAGTGCCTGAAGAGGAAGAAGTTTGTCCCTCAGAACCCAAAAGAGCAGCAAACTGAAGCCTCCAGGAACAAGGAAAGCAGGGCTGAGTGGACAGGAAACAGGGATTTTACCCAAGAAGCTGTCGTCTCCTGTCTCTCTGCAGCCCCCATCTCTTGCAGTGTCATGATTCCTACTCCATTGCCACTGGGAAAGAAGATTTATTCTCTGAAGAAACCATGTCAGAGAGGTTCTAGATGCAGGGACTCCAGAAACTAAGGAAGTCACATTCAGACATCACACTGAAAACATCCAGGGGATGAGATGGTCACCACCTGAACCCAGGGGAATATTCAGACCTAGGCAAAGATAGTAACGTGGAGGGGAGCCTTCTTATAATCATGGATGCAACTGACAGCAGCTATGGCTCTGATTATTTTTATGAAGCCAATATCATTTTTATAACCAGACTGAAGCAAACGTTATTGAATAGAAGAAATAAGTGTTATATGAAAATAAAATTTCTGAGGGTCTCCTATTTCATCTTCTATCATACCCCTTACTTCTCATGCTCTTCTCTCAGTCACCACAAAGTGCAGACCACAGTGGCCCAGAATTTAGATGCTGTGCCTGAGAAACTGAGTGGCACGCATGTAGACCCTAGACTCGGAAAGCCCAGAGTTAGAATCACAGCCTAACTCATTATTCTCTGACCGGCTTTCCCTTCCCGACCCATAATCACCTCCTTAGCTATGTTAAGAACCAGAGGCTTTTGCTTATGAAGCGCTTGTTGCAGCCCTGGGCTCCAGTTGGCTGCTGTAGGTTGCAGTAACTGTGCCAGAGTCGGGGACCGAGAGTAGACTCTAGGCAGCGACCTCCCGTGGCTTCATCTGAAGGAGGAGTCAGTGCTCCATCTCACCACCTCTAGGAAAATTTGCAGTGAGCACCTTCCAACTTGCAAGTACGTGCAGGCCCAGCTAAAGCTGCGTCTGCATCATGTGCTTGGGCCTGCGAGCCAGTCCAGGCAGGTCTCTGGGGTGCTCCTGCTTTCCAGCTCCAGGCCTGCCCATTCATGCACCTGAAAGAGGTTGGCAGCTTCCAGGACGCGCTGCACATTCTGCTTGGTGATCAGCGCCTTGCTGGTGTATGTGTAGTCCAGGAGGGTATGCATGGTCTCAGCATCAACCCCTTTAATAACGATCTTCTTCTCGTACTTTTCCTTTAGGTCATTGCAGAACATAGCCCTGGAAGAGAGATGTGTGAGTGTGAGTCCTACTGGGACCCTTAGTTCCAGACTACCAGTGACCCGCTTCTAGACTCTCCGCCCTCTTGGAAATGTGGGGGGCCCCTAGTGGGGACCTTGGCTGACTGCTTTATCTCCTTAGCACTCATTGCACACCAGACATTCAGTCAGTGCTTACTGAACTGCACTGTCTCCTCTGCCCATGCCAACTGTGGTGCCCAGGCCAGGCCCAGATCTCCCTTATGGGCTCCAAGTACTGAGCATCCTGCTGAGGCGCCCTGGGAATCCTAAGCCTTGTCTGACCTTCCTCAACATCCGGCACCAAACAGGGTTTCTGACTCAGCTCCCAGGTCTTCTTACTCCTCTCCGGCCTGGAGCCTGGCCCACAGCCCAGCCGCTCACCTGGAACCCAGATTCGTCCCAGCAGCACAAGTGGCTCCTAAACCTACCACTCCTCCCCTAGGCTCGATTCCCAGCTGCAGCTGTAAGCCCTGAATTCCCCACCCCAGGGCAGAGCCTCCAAGGTCTTGTTCTGCTGCTTCTCTTGTTTAAGCCTTTCTTGCTTCCTCCCCAGGACTGGCCTCTATCGGAGAAGCAGGGGGACAGTTTGCAAAGGATGCTGGTTTTTGCATCAGAAGGACCAGAATCTGACACCAGCCTCACCAACTCAAAGACTGAACATGGCACTTGATCTCCATGAACTTCAGTCTTCCCATGTGTAACAATGACTTTAATAGCTCTTTTTAAGCGCTATTGTAAAGATTAGCTCAATAACTAATAGATAAGTAGAGACAAAGAGATTCTTTTTTCACCCCATGCCAGGCTCATATATGAATTCATTCTGTTTCTTTGACTTTGAGATTTGAACTGTAAGTTCTTCTCGGAGAATGTATGAACAATTTTATTTATTTTAAAAATGTATTTAAACCTTACCATGGTTCTGGAAAGATTTCTGGAATTCTAGAGACTTAAAAGGCACCAAAAACATGGCTTGGTTCCATAAATTGAAAAGGGAGGTAGAAAAACCTAAATGAGAACATGAAGATAATCTCCGCATGAGGCTAGAAATGCCCCCTCCGCAGTGACATTCACAATCCTCATCTCATATATCACACACATATACAAATCCAAATGCTCAAAAGAATGATTATCATTCTTAGCATAAAAAATAGGTGGAATTTCTCTTGGATTAATACCAGCCTTATAACATTCCTACCCCATGAGGCTAGTCTTTAACAGCTACAGCTGAGGCAATTCCTTCAGTCCTATTCCTACAAAAACCTGCTCACTCTCTCTCCCAGTGGGTGTGAGACCCCAGAAATCCCACAGGAATGCACAGCTAATAAAACAACTCTTCGGAAGCCTGAGGATTCAATTTTTTTCAATTCCCCCTGCATTACAGAGCACCACTCTGGAGGATACTGGGATAGGGTTAGAAATATTAAGCAGTGCTCTGGACTGCCCCATCCCGCCATCAGTCATACACTGAAGTTCTAAGGCTGCATTTGTAGATGGAGGTAATTAAAGGTTAGCTGAGATCCTGAGGCTGAGGCTGAATCTGACCGCACTGATGTCCTTATAAGAAGAAGAAAAGAGATCAGAATTATCTCTCTCTCTCTCTCTCTCTCTCTCTCTCTCTCTCTCTGCCATGTGGCCATGGCAACCAGGAAGTGAGCCCTCCCCAGAACCCAGCTTTGCTATCACCCTGATCTCATACTTCTGGCCTGTAGAACTGTGAGACAGGACATTTCTGTTGGTTAATCTACCCCGTCCATGTGCTTTTGTTATGATAACCAAACTAACTGTAATAGAGTCTGCTCTGAGAAGTGAGATGCTGCTGCAGCAAACAACTGAAAATGTAAAAGCTAATTTGGGACTGGGTAATGGGTAGCAGCTGGAGGAGTTTTGAGACGAATGCCAGAAAAAAACCTAGAGGCTGTGGGCAGAATATTGGTAGGAATATGGGCACTGAAGGTCATTTTAGGAAGGTCTCAGATAGAAATGAAGAGCATGTTATTAGAAACTGGAAAAATGGTGATCCTTGTTAACAAGTGTCAAAAAACTCAACTGAACTGTGTTCTACTGTTCTGTGGAGGATAGAACTTTCGAGAGATGCAATTAGATATTTGGCTGAGGACACAACTGAGCCAAGTGGGAGGGAGTGGCTTAGTTTCTCCCAACTGCTTACAGTGAAAAGCAAAGGAGAGAGCAATAGAAAACGGAATTTTTAAGCAAAAAGAAACTAGAAATCAAAGACCTGGAAAATTATTGGCCCACCCGTATTGCAAAAAATGGGAATGCATCCTCTGAAGAGAACGCCAAGGGGGTGTGTGATTTGTCATTGGATAGCATGAGCAGGGACATAGCCAGTTGAAGCTGACAGGGCAGAGACAGGGCAAATGAAGGAAGCCTGGCAGACGTGGATTTGACAGTGCAGGATGGGATGACAGAGGTACTCAACAGTGAACAGTTCTGTTGCTCAAGAGGAGGAAAAAATGCCCAGGAGGGCAATTTAGAGATCATCGGGGCCACAGCCTCAGTTCTACAAGTCAGAGAGCCCCTGATCAAAGCCTTGGGACAAGAGTCCTGACCACAGCCCTACGGTGATGCTGCTATCTCACTGGGCCTGGAAGGCAGAGCATGAAACCAATGAGGGTGATTCTCACACCTTAAAATTGAATGGGATTTACCTTAGTGGGTTTGGGCTTTCGTGGGAACCAAGACTTCTTCCTTCTTTCCTATTTCTCCCTTTTGCAGTGAGAATGTCTATCCTGTCCCACAAGTGTATTTGGAAGCACATAACTTGTCAGATTTCACAGGGTCACAGTTGGAAAGGGATTTTACTTTTGGATGAATTGTACTTCCAGTCTTACCCAAGTCTGACTTAGATGGGACTTTGGACTTTTGAGGGGATGCTGAATTTTGGAGCTGTTGGGATGCAGCGAATATATTTTGCATATGAGAAGGACATGACTTTGAGGGGTCAAAAGCAGAATGCCATGGACTAAGGTGTTCTCCCAAAATGTGTATGTTGAAGCCCTAACTCCCACTCTGACTGCATTTGGAGGTAAGGCTTTTAGGAAGTAATTAAGGTTAAATGGGGCCTTAACGGTGAGGTCCTAAACTGATAGGACTGGTGTCCTTCTAAGAAGAGGAAGAGCCTCTGTGTGTGTGTGT